TCTCGCCCGGCTAGTTTTTTGTATTTTTTAGTAGAGACAGGGTTTCACCATGTTAGCCAGGATGGTCTCGATCTCCTGACCTCATGATCCGCCCGTCTCGGCCTCCCAAAGTGCTGGGATTACAGGCTTGAGCCACCGCGCCAGGCCATGACAAAACTTTTAATGACTTCATATTATCAAATGAACATCAATTATTATTCTGTATTCTTTTAAATACCTAAATATGTATCACAACATAATGTATAAGGAGCCACCAGGCAATTATTCGTATTTTGTTGATGCTTTATTTTTCCTGTGTCCCTTTACATCAATTATTTTCAGCACTCTAAATATGCTACGGATTGCAAACACACCAACATAAAAACCAGGCTAGGGCCGGGTGCGATGGGTCACGCCTATAATCCCAGCACTTTGGGAGGCTGACGCAGGTGGATCAAGAGGTCAGGAGTTCGAGACCAGCTTGACCAACACAGTGAAACCCCATCTCTATTAAAAATACAAAAATTTGCCGGGCGTGGTGGCACATGCCTGTAATCCCAGCTACTCAGGAGGCTGAGGCAGGAGAGAATCGCTTGAACCCAGGAGGCGGATGTTGTGGTGAGCTGAGATCACACCACTGCTCTCCAGCCTGGGTGACAGAGCAAGATTCCATCTAAAAAAAAAAAAGAAAAGAAAAGAAAAGAAAAGAAAAAGAAAAAAACAGCCGCGTGTGGTGTACCTCGCTGGCCAACTGAATCCCTCCTTGCTGGCCAACTGAATCCCTCCCTTTCCTTGTGCTGTATTTCCTGCTTCATAGGCCAAATTCTATATACTTAATTTCCCAGGTTCCCTCACAGCATAGTATGTAAGGAGCTAAGGCGCTTCTGGGAAAGTTATTTTGCTTCCAAATAGAAGAAAAAGGAGGTCAGGTGCTGCAGCTCACTCACACCTGTAATCTCAGCATTTTGGGAGGCTATCCGGCTGCAGTGAGCTATGATCGTGCCACGGCACATCAGCCCAGGTATCAGAACAACACCCTGTTTCAAAAAAAAAAAAAAGGAAAAAAGAAAATGGAGAGTGCACTACTACTGACACCGCTTCTTGTCTGAGCTGTCTTATAACCAAATGACATTTCTGAGGAAAACAAGCTAAGATTAGCAAAGTCAAAAAAGCATGGGTTAATAAGTATCACTGAGCCACTCAGTTTGTTGACCGAGACAATAAATGCCTACACCGTTTAATACAGTTTGTTGGAGCCGCGCGCAGTGGCTCACACCTGTAATCCCAACACTTTGGGAGGCCAAGGCAGGTGGATAACCTGAGGTCAGGAGTTTGAGACCAGCCTGGCCAACATGGTGAAACCCCGTCTCTACGAAAATACAAAAAATGAGCCAGGTGTGGTAGTGGGTGCCTGTACTCCCAGCTACTCGGGAAGCTGAGGCAAGAGAATCACTTGAACCCTGGAAGCAGAGGTTGCAGTGAACCAAGAGCATGCTCCAGCCTGGGTGAGAGTGAGATTCCGTCTCAAAAAAAAAAAAAAAAAAAAGTTTGTTGGATTTCTCTATTACTTGTCTAAAATATTCCTAACAAATACAAGCGCTCTTAAGTACATGAGATTTAGCACATAGGCCATGACTCACTTTGGCTGCTTTGAAACCTATCATCTATTTCAAACTTCAAGAAAGGGCCATGGTCTTCAGATATCCACTAAAATACATTTTTGTAAATAGGGCCCATATAACACTTCTCACAGGAACTTGCAACTTACGAAAATTTTTAAATTTCATTATACCAATGCCCACAGATGTCTAAAAAAACTTAGAATTAAAGCCTGTACATCATATTAAAAGGAAATTGTCTAACATATCATACCTGGTGGCATTCCAGGCATCAGAGGTGGTATTCCTGGTCCAGGTGGCATCATTCCACCCATTGGCATCATTCTATTAGAAAGCAAATTTCAAGAAACAGTAAGTTAATGAACAGCATAAACCATTAAAAAATATTCTGGCTAAAGCCTGAAACAACACTAGATAGACTTGAATCTGACCTCTAATATTGATATGAATCAAGCTGAAAGAACACACAACACACTGTAACAATCCTATCAAAATAAATTGTTTAAAACCCAGCAAACTCTTTGGTTTACCAATAAAAGAAAAAAAAAATGTTGACAAAACATTTAAAGTCATTGAGAACAAATATACTCTCAATATGTATAAGAGACCTCATCTAAAATACGTGTAATGGAAAGCAAAATTACCACTTTTTCCACTTGTAAAATATCCACACAGAGTATTAAATAAAAAGAAGAAACCTCTATTTTAGAGTTGTGTCAGATTTTGAAAAGGAAAAGATTGAATGAATGTACCCTTTGAAATGAGATTTTTTATTTGGCTAGGTGCAGCAGCTCACGCCTGCAATCCCAGAACTTTTCAGAGGCCAACGCTCAAGGACTGCTTGAACCCAGGCTGGACAAAAAGTGAGACCATATCTTTTTTAAAAAAGTATCTTTTTAAAAAAAATTTCAAACATTAGCTGGGTGCAGTACTGTGTGCCTGTAGTCCCAGATACTCAGGGGGCTGAGGTGGGAGGATCACCTGAGCCCAGGAAGTCAAGGTTGCAGTAAGCTGTGACTGCACCACTGCACTGTAGCCTGGGCGACAGAGTAAGACACCCTGTCTCAAATACATACATACACACACACACACACACACACACACACACACACACACACACATATTTTTAGAGGAAGGAAATGCTACCACCAAAATTAAAGACACTCAAAAGTAAAATCAGATGGCCTAATATTTACAATAACTACCTAACACTAAACCATGACTTAAAAACACAACCCATTCATTTTTTTCCCCTAAAAGAGCTCACCTTCAAATATCAGTGTCCAATTCACTTAAAAAACGACAAATTGGTCAATTTTCTTCAAAATTTTTAAATTTTTTGTGGGCAAATTCAGTTCTTGATTTAAAATTTTTATCAGAAGATTAACTTCTATTGATAGATTAGAAAATTCCATTACATCCTATGATAATAAAGCACATTTCACAGAATATAGTCCTTCTTAAATACCAACCCTTATTATCAGGTCCCATTACTTTTAATAGTTTGGAGAAAAATCACTGCACGTTTGAAGTATGTTTATATGGGTCTATTACTATTTCCTAAAAGATGTTTTATTTTCCTTCTTTAAGAGACCTGTGTTAATTAGCTTTCAAGTTTTAGTGAGGAAGGTTAGAAAATTTCTGAAGTCAACTGAATAGATACCATTAAACACACACATAAAAAAAATGACAGTATGATTATACCTCCTGAATTACATTATGAATGAGATGCTTACATGTTTTCACCGCAAAATGACTGGGTGTATTTTCTCTGATGATGCAATCTGTGAAAATGTATGACAAAATCAAAATCTAACTGTGATTTTCAAAATACAGTGGGAAAGTGTATTGTATACCTCTCACATCCAACAATATTTAAGTAAAAGTGATGGGCACAAGCACCTCATACTCATTTTAGTTTTGATGCTTTGACAAATAAATCATTTACAGAGTTTGTCTGCTTCTTGTCGCAACTACAAAGTGTCACAGATAGTTCTGAATCTCAGAAACGCAAATCTATAAATAACCAACTACTTTAATCACAGTAAATGCAATTGAAGTAGATGGTTGCTTACATATACCCTAAAACCCAAAAATCTATTATTCAGAGGCAAATTTATACTCCTTAAATTTATTGGTTGATCCCTTTATTAGACAAGATTTATATAGCCCATACCTTCTTCTAAAGCAAAAAATGGAAACTAACATTTCATTCATATAACATCCAAATTGAAAAAGATTACTAGGCACAAGCCTACAAGATAAATAAAAAAATTTTCTTACCCAGGTGGCATGCCTGGCATAACTGGTGGCATTCCTGGCATCAGAGGAGGAACACCTGGCATTAATGGAGGTATGCCTACAAGCAAGAATTTCAATCAAAATAATAACAAATATTAAAGAGTCAGGGGGAAGAAAGTAATACTTCGATACAATATAAATAATGCCCTAAAAATGTAAGATTTTAAGCAATCCTATGTGCTACCTGGAGGCATTCCTGGTGCTCCTGGTACTGGTGGCAGTCCTGGCTGTGCCATTGGGGGAATATAACCTTGTTGAGGTTGAACAGGCTGTGGCTGAAATGAAGTTGAGGCTGCAGAGTCATCATCATCATATTCATCAGAATCATCTTGTTGTTTCTTTTTTTGACTTTCTGTTACAAAAAAATTTTAATTATTTCCATGAAGTAAAAACTAAGAAAGTTTACTTACAACATTCAATATTTAAAAATACTTATATTGGTAAAATTAGTTCATGAGATTTTTCTTCCCCCAAAATTCAATATTTCTCTATGTTCTTCAAATGTGTTTTCCCCCTATATTAAACAAGGTTAACGTTCTTTCCCTGTCCCATAAAAGGTAAAATGATTATCCTAAATCAGTATTTTTTCTTTTAAATTTTTAGTAGGGTCTTGCTCTGTGACGCAGGCTGGAAAGCAATGGCACGACTGCAGCTCACTGCACTCTCAAACTCCCGGGCTGAAGTGATGCTCCCGCCTCAGTCTCCCAAGTAGCTGGGACTGCAGGCACATGCCACAACACCGGGCCTTTTTAAAAAATTATTATTATTATTATTATTATTTTTGGTAAAGATGAGGTCTCGAACTTTTGGCCTCAATTGATCCTACTGCCTCAGCCACCTAAAGCACCGAAATTATAGGGGGTCCTTCATTTTCATATGCCTTAACACACTTGTTAATTCTATTTGGAATTCAATTATGAACAATAATATAAGAAAATGGAATGATCCAAATGGTACTGCATATATACCAATCAAGTACATGTCTTCAAAAACAGGGCTCAAATTTAAAATTCCAAATAGATAGATCTACCATTCAATTTTATCTATCTTATCTATTAAGTGACTGATCAATTAATTTATCTAGATAGGATCTCACTCTGTTACCCCGGCTGCAGTGGAGAATTCACAGCTCACTGAAGCCTCAACCCCCAGGGCTCAAGACATACTCCCACCTCAGCTGAGACTACAGGCATGTGCCACCACGCCCAGCTAATTTTTATATTTTTTTGTAAAGACAGCGTGTCACTTTCTATTGCCCAGGTTAGTCTCCCAATTTCTAGGCTCAAGCAATCTTCCTGCACCCCCTGCCCATAGTGCTGGGATGACAGGTGTGAGCCACTGCAACTAACCTACCATTACATTTATAATTGAAAATAGTAACTATGGGCTTCAGTGAGGCTGAAAAAAGAATATTATTACAAGGGGAGAGAGACGGTGGCTCACACCTGTAATCCCAGCACTTTGGGAGGCCTTGGCAGGTAGACTGCTTGAGGTCAGGAGTTTGAGACCAATCTGACCAACATGGTGAAACGCCGTTTCTACTAAAAAATATTAAAAAAAACTAGGCCAAGTGTGGTGACTCAGGTCTGTAATCCCAGCACTTTGGGAAGCTGAGGTGGGTGGATCACTTGAGGCCAAGAGTTTGAGAACAGCCTAGGCAACATGGTGAAACACTGTCTCTACTGAAAACACAGAAAAAAAAAAAAAAAAGCTGGGAATAGTGGTACACGCCTGAAATCCCAGCTGAGCAGCTGAGGCACGAGAATCACTTCAGCCTGTGAAGCTGAGGTTGCAGTGAACTGAAATCATGTCACTGTACTCCAGCCTGGCCAACAGCTAGACTCTGTCTCAAAATAAATAAATAAATTAAAAAAAAAAAAAAAAAAAAAAA